ACTTTGATGGATATTTTAGATCAGGATAAGTTAAATCTCGACTCAGAACTTGATTTATTCAATGCCTTAGTGCGTTTCGCAAACGAAAGGAGTGCTTCTAGAAAGGAATCATTATCGTCCCAGTCGTCCGTCAATGGCACAGATGGTTCAGTAAAACAAACCGATGTAATCGAGATTAAAATGGAACCAGATGTAAACGCTTTGGTGGATGAACGAGAGGATGAAGCAAACGAACCGAATGTGGAAACATGTATTGAACGTTCAGCATCACCGGACGTTGTTTTGGTGGAAAACGAGACTGTGGCAACTAACGCCACCAATGCTCACAGAAACGCAAGTTTAATTGAAAGACCGTCAACATCTGCGGCTGCAATTGTTAACAATTTATATCTTCCGGAAAACCACCGTGTGCCAGTGGACGAAACTATGCTGCGTCAAGCGGTCAAGAAAATTCGGTTTCTTACCATGACCCCACAACAATTCGCCGAAGGACCAGCACGTTCTAATCTGTTGCAGGAAAATGAAGCGCTAACACTTTTGATGAAAATTTCTAGCCCATCAATAAGTGACTGCCCTATGCCAGAGGGCTTCTGTAGTTCCCGCTGTACCCGGAACTATTTCGAACAACGCCAACGAGACTTAACATTTATTGGTAGGCATGGTTTGCCTCCCGCTAATAATGGATGTATTTTCTCCCCATACGAGGCGCAGCCTCAGTGTCAACTCGTTGGCGGTGTTTTAAATTCGTTTCACGTTAGCGGAGTGTGCAGCAACAGCTTATCTAATGGTACGGGCCCTGCTGCTACCGCTGCAGTATCGCAGGATGCAGATATTGCTGCCAACGATACGCGCCGCTCTTACTGCGTACGTACTGTAAATCAACAGTACGATTTTCACAATACTAGCATTTCGGACTGTGGTCTCACATTTCAAGTTGATAGCAACATTTGGATAACTGGTAAATTATATTTTGCCCTGTTGTACTCATCACAAAGAGTCTGTCGTTTCTATTTAGTAGAAGGTTTTTCAAATGTTTTACAGCAGATTGAAATGTACACCAAAAAAGTTAGTGTGTTTCTAATCAGTGTAAACGCATAAAACTGATGTAGAAACCTCCGATAGTCCGTTTGTTGGATACACGACTACGATTTTTAAATCATTATCTAGGAGCAATTGCCATGGCCTCATTCTTGCGAGCTTAAATTTAAAAATCAGTCGTAGGGGTCCGCTGACTAGCCAAATGTCTTGAAGGTCTATATAAATTTTAGTGTGTGTTTTAGCTATGCTGACAAATTTTAAACAAATTTATATTTTTGAGTATTTTCCATCCGTATATCTTACTGTATATGAGTAGATTACCCACTCAACAATATTACAAATATTTATATAAAGCATTTGTGCATAGTTCGTAGCGTATATTATACAATTACCATAATGTCTCGAAGATTACCCGCTTCAGTATGATCTAGTGATGAGTATCAAAAGTTTGACGCAAATTAAATATCGTTGCTCTCACTTTTTTCTACAAACCTATTTTTGTTGCTATATTTTGTTTAGGTGTGCAAGTTCCAACTCAAGTACTTTGTGGCGAGCTTATGAATACAGCAGGTTTTTCTGAGCGGTATACCGAGATTTTGTATGCTCATATACAGGACATGCGTGGATCGCGGCTTAGTTATACTCACTGTACGTCACGGGTACGCTACGATTCAGTGTTGGAGGTGTCATTTGATCGTCCCGTTTACATAAACCGCAATCAGTTTTACAAGATATTCGTTACATTTAATAAAGTTGGGTGGTATCCTATGTACACTTGTGTACCCGAAGTTGTTTTCAACCGCGTACGTTTCAAATTCAATGTAGGCGACCCAAATGAATCAGTACGTGATGGCCTTATCCGGGCTATTGTGTTTTTAACACCCCCAGAACAATCGCGTTCAGCATTGGAGTGAATTGCCGAGAGATCGGTAATCTTAATCTTGGAGGATCATTTGAGTCATTTACACAAGGGCATACATGCACAATTACATACATAACTTATGTCTACGTTTTGAATATATGTTTTTATTTCTGATTTATATAGAATTTCAAATTATGTGTGTACGTATTTATGCATTACGAAACTTTCGATTCGATGTATTTGATTATATTTAAATCTTTTTAAAATTGTATGTATAGAATCTAAAGAAATCGAGTGAAATATATGTTTTATTCATAATATCGAAATGGTTGCTCATATCTTTCCAACCTCCTTGCTGTCAATCATTGAGAAAGTGTTCGAACATTGAAAGAAAAACTCAATTCGGATTCAAATTGCACCACTCAACAACCATACTAAGCATAAAGTTTCAAAACGATGTAACAAATCATCTCCGAAAGTAGTCATTTCCGTGTATATTCAAAGAGCCTTTGACTCCGACAGCCACGTAGATATTCTCTACAAGCTAACAGAACTAGGTGTCGATTCCACACCTGGTGAAAATATTTCACAGCTACTTCTCGGGTCGCAAAACGTGGGGGATCAAAGCACTAAATTATTGCTCAAGTTGGAAGGAGAGAAAAGGAGAGAAGATACATTGCCAAATATTATCAAAACCCGACAAAGCAGTTGCCCAACGAACACATCTACAAAACATCAGGAGTCGTACAGTTACGCAGAATTGTTTTGTCTTTGCAGAAGAAATACACAAATGATGATACCCTGATGAACGATATCTACAACTCGGAAAAAGGCTTATCATGGCCCAGAACCATTTACTTAACAATGGACATCCTGTGCGAAGATAGTAATAGCGGGGCAGATCCACTCGTAATTCCATCATTTTATAAAGGACCCACCATCGGCACTCATAGGGGATAGCCATGCAGTTACTAGTTTTACATACACACCTCTAAGAATGCTTAATGCTATCATATAATTCGCATACATTTATGTACACACACAGTTTGGAGTTTTTAACCAAGCTCATTTTATTAGGGATATGTTCAGAGAACAATTTCAGCAAATTGGATTTCAAAAAATAAGACTTATCATTAATACGGACCAAGTAGTGTACATTACTCCAGCATATTGGTGACGAATCCATCCTCTGTGTTTCTCCAATCTAAGCGTGTAAGTATATTACTTTCTAGTGTTAACCAAGATTTTAAAATTTTCTATAAATGAATGCCTCTTACATTTTTTAACAGCAAAAAAATAGTGAATAAATAAATAAAAATTAAAAAAGTGTAAAAATACATAGTAATATTTACAATTATAACAATAATTAAGTCAACAACGATATAAAAAACCAAGCAAAATATTTTAAGTAATTAAGTAACTAAATAAATAAAACAAAATAAGAGCTTCTTAAAATATATTCACTGGAAGGAAAAATATGTAAAAAAGATATATAATGACGGATGCTACACTTGCGAGATGTGTAAGCATTTACTAGTGTCAAGAAACAAACATTATCATCTAATGTTAATCAAGAACGTAAATTAATTGTGAACTTTATTAAGGCTCAAGGCAAAGAACTTTGTGTTCACACTATGGTTCTCTTTATAACGCAAAGAGTCATCTGTTGGTGATTTGCTAAGTATTCAAGAAAAAGAAAAAGGCAGTTTTAGAAAGTTTTTATATTTATTAAAAAATATTTTCAAACAACAAAATGTTATTTTAGCTTAAGCGAGAGAACCATTGAATAGATATGAAGCTGAGAGACGTTCGAAAAGAATAAATGCTCCCATAAAAAAGTTAAAGATTTGGTATGAAGTTTGAAGCCGAATAATAAATTCGGTTACAGATAAATTGTCTTTCCGCTTTCTCTTTTTTATAATAACAAGAGAAGACATCATAGTGTGCCGCATCACACCACCCCTTCTTTATTTGATTATTTAATATAATTATTCATACAATGACGTTTCAAAAGAAGGTTTTGTATAAAATGTAGTCGAAAAAGTGGTTCGATCTGAACAATTTTCATTAGGGTTCGTCCTTGGGCAAAATATATCGGTATAGAAAATTTCATCAAAATATTTAAAAAATTACAACCTGTAGCTTGAATACAAGAAAACAAAACAAGGTGTGATCAATTCAAAACGTAAATAGCAATGAATCGTTTTAATAAGAATTGCGTCTGTGGCACGTCTTTCCAGGTATTGCATATACCTGCTCAAAATTAGCATATCGTTTTACTATAAGTGTCGTAACGTGTAAAAATTGACTTTGTTTGGTTAAAAATAGTACTTTTTCATTTGCACAACACACAAAAATCCATATTTTTAAAATCCATTATGTAATTATGTCCCTTCGACAAAAATATTAAATAATTTTTTCTTTTAGATTTAAATTTGAAGCAACTATACTGCAAGCTTTTGATATCGATATACTGCAACCAGAGTTGTCAAGGTGGTGTCAACATAATGTTATCAAGATTTATTATTATTATGAAATTAATAAATGAAGAATTTATATTATTAAAAATTAGTTTTATCAAACGTATATGTGGGCGATAAATAATTTTCTTTGGCAAATATCTTAATTAGCGCAATTGCTGTGAACCTTCTCAGATGTATCGTCTTGAAAGAATTTGACAATCCTGCTAAAAAGATAGGAAAAATCAACAACGCATTAAGGAAAAATATTCTTTTGCAGGAAAGTTTTAGTTTCTGTCAAAAAAAAAAAAGAAAAGAAAATCGGTTAAAAATTGCGAAAATAAGGAAAAGACGTAAAATGGAGTTTGATTGGCAAGATGAGTTTCATGAAATTAAAGAGCGCGGTGCCCACTTATTGCAGACAGGAAAATGGTCCGATTGCCGTTTCTTGGTTGGAACTCCGCCGAATCAACACATCATCGCTGGCCACAAACTCATATTAGCTATGACTTCTCCAGTCTTTGAATGTATGTTCTTTGGTCAAATGGCGGATAAATCCGATCCCATTATCATACCAGATGTACAGCCAGACGCATTTCAATCGATGATGGAGTACATTTATTCGGGTCGTATCAATATAACTTCATTCGATAAAGCTTGCGAATTGTGTTACGTGGCGAAAAAGTATATGCTTCCTCACGTAGTTGAACAATGTACCCAGTTCTTGTGGTCTGATTTAAGTCCAAGGAACGCGTGTCGTGCATACGAGTTTGCTAAGTTATTCGAGGAGCCCCGTCTTGTGCAAAGAAGTATGGAGGTAAGCAGAATTCTGATTCTCTATTAGCTAAAGTTGATGTTTGTGTGTCTTCTCTCCAACTTATCCAGCTAATTTCTTCATTGACTCGAGAGGTGTTAAATGATTCAAGTTTCTTAGATATTGAAATGACTACTTTGATGGATATTTTAGATCAGGATAAGTTAAATCTCGACTCAGA